TGGCACGCCGGCATGTTGGCATGGGAACGCCAAGCCCGGCACGGTAGCGGCGGCTGACTGAGTAATGGCACAGCCGACCGCCGCGGCAGGCCACTTTGCACTCCTGCCTGCAATGCATGCACCCTTACATGTGCAGCCTTCTGGTATTTTCATGTGCCTGGGAGATGTGCGGGCATGGGGGCCCATGTGCCCCATGCCATTTGAGTGCCCGGCGGCGGCGCTGCCTGCCGCCGGGAGCCCGCACCAGCATCGGCACCCGTCGGCCTGGCAGGCCTAAGCTGCTAAGGATCCCCACGTCCCCCACCACGTTGTGGGGGTTGCGTGTCCGGCAGGACGGGGAGCGGGGCCAGGGTGGGGTGACCCTGGGACGCTCAGCTGGGGGGAGGGTGGTCGGAGCCATGGAGAGGGTGCTCCATGGTCCACCCCCTCTCTTGATGCCCCTTGATCACGTGTGCCCCCTGCCCAAGGTCTGCTCACGCGGCCTATCATAGCGGGGTGACTGTAACACAGGGATGTCACTCATCCTGGTTGTTTTGTCTGCAGTGATTTTGGAGATATTCGGGTTCAAAGATGGTAGGTGCTTGTGCGATCCCAAGCTTCTGGCTGCTGGCCATAGCTTTGACGTATGCTGTACAAATGGGAGCCTCGATTGCGCACGCTCTTGCGCCGTGTGTTGCAGCGGGCAACATGCCTGGGACCCAAGCTGACTGTCTGGCCGGTCAAGCAGCAGCTGGGCATTGCACTGGAGCTGAGCTTTGTCGTTGGTGAGTGCCTCTGGGCTGGTGGCCCCTGTTGTTCGCTGAGGGCGGCGCAGCCCACCCTGTGCTGCTCACCGTGGTCGGTGCAGCCACTGTGCCGCACTAGCGGCGACAAGTCCATGACGGCCCACCATGCCTGCAGGGTCTATCCAGTTTGGCGGCAAGTTTCAGTACGGTGTGGGCTCGGAGAACGCAATCTGCAAGCTCGCTCGCGACCAAAATCCGGGCTTCTACAACCGCCAGCTCAAGTGCAAGGACTTCTGTGCATGGAACCCGGTGAGGCTGTCTGTCTGTCTGTCTGTTACACCCATAAGGAGCAAATGAATGCTACGGGCCCAGCTGTGGTGCCAAACAGCTGGAAAAGTATGCACCAACACAAAACACATGAGGGAAGAGATTCAGGTATGGGGGGTAGAGCTGTACACAACATTGCAGCAAATACAAAACCCACCCAAAATTATAAGCTGCATGCCCCAAGCAATACACACGGTGGGCATCTGCATAAAGATAGCAAGAGGCATTTAATGAAGCGCCGGATAAGCTCAACCCCGGGCCAGCCGAGCCGACCGCCTGGGCAGGGCCGTCAAGACGTGCCCAGGGGCCACCTCGACTGGGGATGGGGCACGAGATGAGGGTGTGGAGGTGGCGGCCTCCGCCTGGTGCCTCGCCGCCGTCTCCCGCCGCTGGCGTCGCCGCCGCGCAGTTGAGGATTCGGGCCGCTCGTCTGCCACAGGCGACTTGGGGTTAGGCGGGGCAGCAGGCGTGGCCGCCGCTAAAGGAACCACGGCACTGGCCAAGGGCGGCCACTGTGCCGCCGGTGGTGAGGGCGGTGACACGGTGGGGGCCGGCTGCTGCGGGTGGGGGGCCG